ACGACTGGTATATGATTTGCGTATGATACGATTTTGTATGCAGAGGTATCGAGGCCTTTATCACATTCTCGCGTACCAAGATCAATCCTGACCAAAGAGTACAAACCCATTGTTGAGGGAACACACCAATTAAAGCAATGCCATTATATTGGGCGGATAATAATGTTAGTACCAAACCTTTGCCGAGCAATTAACAAACAACAGCCCACAAGGAGGTATGAGGCAAATGAAACATACTTGTATAATTTGTAGCCTGTAGAAATAGACACAGACATGACACATGCACAAATACACACATGCACGTGCAAACAGAACATAAGCACATGTGTCCGCGCTCCCCCGCGCGTGCACACACATAGACGCATACAATCATAGATAAATACACACTTACATACCGTGCGGACATATATGTTTGAATAATTGCTTAGCATGTACTAATATAAACCAACACATGTAGGATCCTTCAAAGATTGATATGCACATACTGGGGATATGAAAAAGGGCATTCAAATAGTCAACTGATTGACATATACAAGTCCAGCAGGAAACACAAAATCAAAAAAGGGCCATAAAGGTTGAGGGGAGAACTACACCAACAGAGTGTATGATAAGTCTAAACACAGAAGCATTCGTGACGATAACGCAACATAAGTCGGCTGAGCATTGTTAACAGCAACCTAACACATACATATATACATGAGAGGCACCCCCTCCCGCGGGGGGGGGGGGGGGGGGGGGGGCATACCTGGCAGTAAGCCAACAATATACATGGCCCTACAAGTCTGGATCAGAATAAATACAGAGTACTTATTACAAAATGCTAGAAGTCGCTATGTCAATATCCAAATACAGAAGCCGAAACCTAATTTACTGATACAAATCCATCCAAAATGAAGATGTGATAAACTCACATGCGCCCACACAAAAAGAGAACACGTTGCGTATACTAATGACAGCCCATATCCGGAGACCATACTTCTCTTGTATAAATATAAGGCAAACCAACATAAAACACATATAAACTTATTGAGATATGTTTGCAATCAAACTTGTTAGTGACACAAGGCTTTCAGTGATAAAGCGCAAACCGTGGGTCTTGACGTTGCTATAGAGTTCATCGAGGGTCTTGGTATGAAGATGGTAAGAATAAATCATCCTTGGAGGCACCAAAGATCCCTGGAAGACCTCAAGCAGAACTTCAGGACCTCTAACGCCGATTATGTGAGGCTGGAAGGTTGGAGATGCTACACTAGAAAAATTGATGTTAGTATTGTTTGGTCCATACGCGGTGACTCGTATGATCTTTAGAGCCTCCATATTACTAAGTTAGGGTCAACGATATGAGGGGCCGCATGGAACCTTGGTGGAGGGGTAGGATGCTGCACAAAGCAGAGGTGACCCTGGGATTCAAGTAAAGCCACAAAGAAGAGGTCACGCACGGGTTCAGGGGTTGGCATCAGCCGAGACTTGTCATCTTTTAGATCAAAAGACAGAACATAAGGGACTTGAGAATGACCGGTGGTGGGGAGACTGCCCAGCACCAGCCAGTGGATATTTCCTTTAACAAAGACGGGAGGCAACCACAGGACCTTACAAGGAGCATCCCTGATGAATCGCCATTCCTGGCGAGGCTCCATCGAGAGAACTTTGCAACCGCAAATGACAGAATTGCCTTCCTTACTAAAGAGCCTGACAAGCTTGTACACGCCAGTTGTAGCATCAAAACCTAATCCGACTTCAATAAATCTTTCGCCTGGGCTGCTCATCGGGAGCCTAGCGACCTCCTTTAAGAGTGGATTTAGTAGGTAGCGGAATCGATCGTCACATTGTTTGGAGTTTTGAGTAACCTGTAAGAGACTAAGAGGGCCTATCTCCGAACCGGAACTCTAGTGAGCAATCTTTGTCATGACTGTCGTTGCCGACTTCATAAAGTGTGATGGTGCGCGAGTAGGAGAGTGGGGAGAAGAGCAAGACCTTGCCTTTGATGGGTTAGAGATCGCTATTGCTTGCAGACGCAGCGGAATCTCGCGACTGATGTAGCCAGTAGAGGATGTCAAAAGCTGTTTAGAGAATGGAAATTAAGTGAAAAGAAAGAAGTTGATGTGGCTTGTAACTCTACTTTCCATCCTTTTTTCTATTTAACTTTTGGAAACATATATGTCGCCAATTTGGTATTGCTGTAGTATATAGTAAGTATTTTTTTAATAAAAATAGCCTATATAACCTACCGAAAATAGTCAATCTTATAATTAAATATTAAAAGCTACTTTAAAATAATTTGCTACACCTCATCAAGCATCTAAAACAGCACTCAACATACTCTCAACCAAAAACATGCTCGACAGTAGCACATATCCATGGCCCATACAAGTCTGAATCAAAATAAACACACTGAATACTAGAAAATTGCAGCATATATGCAAAGTTGCTAGACTCTCACGCGCCAACTATCCAAAATGCAGAGTTGTTAGACTCTCATGCACCAACTGCAGATGTCATAGGGATTTAATCCCTAACCTCACTCTCCCCACAAACAGAACCCCAAAGCTCAAACACAAAACCAACAAAAACCAACCAAATACCACTTCGGCTACTATCCTAATATTTTTCTGGTGTTATAGGTGCCGAGAGTTGTTTTTTGTAAATTGTGACCAAATATCCAAATGCCAGTGAATCTTATATCAATGAATATTGCATATCGTTATAAAGGATATAAAAGAGTGCCAAAAGAATAACTCACAGTAATTACGTCGCTCCATAGACCTCCATTTCAATACAAATTGCTGTTTTCTATCTTAACTCATAAGTCATATCTGTTGTCACTGCTAATTGCTGTACACATTTCAAAACTAGCTTGAGTGGAAATTACTTCTTCGCTTGTCACATCACCAGTAATCTAAACATGAGCAAACTCCATCTCTGAAATGGTGGAATCGGTTCACATCTCTCACAAGAATCTCTCTATTTGCAAACTTTGAGATGAATTTTGTGACAGTATGGCAATCCTCACACAACCTCAAGTTCTTGGTGATCCTGATGACTTGTCCCTTGCCACTATTTATAAGCCCAAAGGCCAGAGCCAATTTCTCACTGTGACCCAACAAAATGCGCTCTTTCTCCTCCTGGTCGAGATCATAGAGCACAACTTTCGTGTTTGGAACGTAACCCGTCTCCTTCATCTCTGTTACCAACCGCACTATCAGAGCATGAAGCTGTTCAATCCGTGGATTCATTTCATCAACAGACACAAAAGAGTATAACTTTTTCTTCACCTCAATCCAACTGCATCCAGGAACTTTCTGCAATCCTTTACCCTCCAAAATTCTCTTTATTCTGCTCACTTCCTCCCACATTTTAGCCGAGGCATATATGTCTGCTAGAAGAATGTAATTGCCAGCGTTCAAGGGTTCAAGTTCAAAAAGACGAGCACACGCTTTCTCTGCACGTTTGACTTCCCCATGAATCCTACACGCTCCAAGGAGAGAACCCCACACAGTGGGACCCGGTTCCACCCGCATATCTTCTACAATCTTCTCCGCTTCATCTAATTGGCCAGCACGGCCTAGGATATCCACCATACAGGCATAGTGCTCTGCACGAGGTATGATACCAAATTCCCGTGACATTGATGCAAATATTCTCTTTCCTTCCTGTACCAATCCAGCATGACTGCAGGCCCCCAAAACACTCACGAAGGTAATAGGACTTGGTGAAACCCCCTTATCTATCATCTCTTCAAACAAATGAAGTGCTTCCCTACCGAAGCCATGAATACCGTATCCTGCAATCATCGAATTCCATGACACGACATCCCTCTGACATTTTATTGTGTCAAAAACTTGACGTCCTGTCTCTAAGTTTCCACACTTTGCGTACATTGCAATAAGAGCATTGAAGACTGATACAACCGCTTCCAGCCCTCTTCTAAGAATATAAGCATGAATCAGCTTCCCTTGACCTAATGCAGACAAACCAGCACAAGCCTGAAGGACACTGACCATAGTAACCGAATTAGGAACCGTGTCTGGTTCCCTCATCATCATCTCCTGAAACAACATCAGTGCATCAAATGGCCTCTCACTCGCATAGCAAGCTATCATCGCACTCCATGTAACCACATTCCTTTCAGTCATTCCATCAAACACCCTCCTTGAATATGGCAAGCTACCGAGCTTTGCGTAGCAATCTATGAGGGTCGTTGCCACGTGGACCCGGGTCTTGAACCCGTGTCTCAAAGCATGCCCGTGTATTTGCCTAACCCTTCTCTCAGCCAAATCATGGCTCGACGAAGAAGCAACACAAGCTTTAAGCCCATAAGAGTAAGTGAAGCTATCCAATGGCATTCCAAGCATACCCATCTGCCTACACAATGAAATAGCCTCCTCTCCCTCATCCGCAAGCGCCAACGCCCTCAAAAGTGCATTCCACACGAAAATAGTTTTGTCAGACGTTTTCTCAAACACATTGCGGGCATCCTCCACCGAACCAAAATGCGAGTACATATCAATGAGTTTGGTAGATAAAAAAGGATCCTGATCAAATCCATCATCGACAAGATGCCCATGAACAACTCTCGCCAAAGATGGCTCATTTAAGCTGCTGCATGCGAGAATGAGGGATTCATAAGTTCTCTGAGTTGGGTTTTGTTCATGGGGCAAGAGCTGAAGGGCTTGCTTAAGATTGCCTCTTCTACAAAGGGTTTGTATCAAATGGTTGTAATTGTTGATGGTGGGGGTTTTGAGGGAGGAGAGGGTTTTGAAAGAGAAGGAACGATGAGGGGATCGAAGAGGGGGTTGAAAGAGGGAGGGCTGAGTTTGAGTTGCCCACATTGGGTTGAGGTTCGAGATAAAGTTTTGAGTTTTGGATTTGACGAGGCTCCAGTTGAGTTTTAGTGGTTTTGTGCGAAGGATAATTAATTCGCCAATGGTGAAAGAATCCACAGCGAGATGATGCATTTGGCAACGATGACTGAGGATATTTTTTCGCTGAAACGAGTAGCGCTGGGATGTGGGGCCCAGATGGTTGCCCTATTGAGTCAAGTATTTGGGTCCATGAGAAAAGCGCGCCCTTTTCCCCAAGTCTCTCAAATCCAAACTGCTCTTTTTTCTCCTCTCAATCACATTCTTTGATGGAAATCTTCAAGGGCTTCCATTTACAGCATCTCCACTTTGCTACAAATTGAACGAAAGCTGAGGTCTTTGGAGTTGGGCACAGAGGGAAACGTAACCTTTTGAAATCTAGGGTTCAAAGCTCGCCCCTTTGCTCCCAGGGTTTTTTGGTGTAAGTTTCCTGGGCAAAGTCTCTGCAGTTTCTATAATTTATTCTCTTAATTTCGGTTCAAATTACATTGAATTTCGCCGAAATTTCAGCTCTAGGCGAAGAAAGTTGGTTCATATGGGGGTTTCATCCGACATGTAAATAAACATTAGTTATATAAAATTTCAGTGTTTTGTTCTTGTAAATAGTCATTAGTTCTACTCAATTTTTCCATTGCCTCTATTGAAAGTTGGGGTTACTAGAAATGAGTTCAGTCTCTCTTTTAAGAAATATGTCACATTAAAAAGTTTCGAGCAGGTTTTTTTTTGGACATTGCGATGCGTTGATTGCTTAACTAGCCTGTCACTACTTTGCAAAATATGCTATGAAGCTATGTTGTTCAATGGCTCTTTATATAGCATTCAGGTTCTTAAAACACATTTTGACGTAAACGAGACACTTAATTATGTTCATTCACTACTTTCCGTCAAGCATAACTAGAGAGATTACCTTCAGAGAGCCTTAATTTGAGCAGTGATCCAATACTGATCTACAAGGGTCTCCTGATGTACTTCTGTTGAGCTTCTGGATTCAGTCAGGACTCTACTGCAAAAAGATAAGCTACTGCTCTCTAGCCTCAGAGTTTTCTTCTCTGTGATGATTTGTGTCTTAGTTTGGTTTAATTGTTGTTGATTGGATGAGTTTAGTACAGCTTCATGGCTGTGATTTATCCAGTAAGTTTTAGTTTTGCAGTGATGAAGGATTATGAAATTGTCAAATCCGGATACCATGATCAAAATCATCCATCTAACCAAGAGATAATAGCTTCACATATAATGATAAAAGTGCGTTCAATATTTTTTTTCTTTTTAATTTGCATTGAAGAAGAAGTTTTCGCATCTTAGTTTGAACAATCCTCTCTTTAGGAAAAACATCTACTGATATTGGTTATGTTACTTGATGAATCCCTACGTTTCATAGCCCGTTTCCAATTTATTACCGAATATTGACCATGCCACGTCTGAGAGAATAGAAGTTCCCACCTTGACATGTTCTTTTCCACAGGGAAAAATGGTTATTTTATACTTAGTCCTTGCATTCAGAAAATATAGGAAATAAATACTAGTTTTTGGAAGATGTAGTGAAACTCAAATCAATATGCTGAGAAGGAAAGGAACAATTAATGAGTCTCTTCCAACTTATTTGGAACCTTTTCCTTTGGAAATAAGAATGGCAGTTAAGCTTGAATTTGTATGCATCCAACTTATTTGGACCCATTATTTTAAATTTTTTTCTCTTTTTCCTGTGAGTTTGACGGTCATGATCGAGTTACATGTCGTTAAAATTATTTTATCATTTCCAGTTGCTATCCATCTCTATATCTGACTCATCGATCCGTGCCAGAAGTATAGTTAAGTGTTAGAATAAGTATCACATTGTGTTAAATATCATGATTTACTTTACATTGATAGAGATGGATGGCAGCTAATGAGATATATAACGAAAGAGGGCCATACAATTATCAACCGGGGTGACTGAGTCCATTAGTTGGGCCTCATAGCAGCCACATGTGGTCCATGGTGGTCTCCCCTGGACAACGTTAGCGTAACAATCAATATGGTCAGTACCAAAGAAGGAGATTTATGTCTTCACATAAAAACAATGAATAATCATGCCGGTATTATATATCTGTGTTGCTCCAAGACTTATTGAGCTGAAACATGAAGATTTTAACATTTCCTCTTTCTTCCATCCTCACCCATGTCTTCCTATTATCACTACTACTACCTTTCTCTGCATCTACATCACCTGGTAACTCTCTGTCAAGAGGCTCTTCTCTCTCTGCAGAGGATGAGTCCCCAGCTTTAGTCTCATCAGATGGGTCATTCTCTTGCTGCTTCCATAACGTTGGCTCAAATGCTTACACCTTCTCTATCTGGTTCTCAAAATCAAATGAAAACACTACTGTTTGGACTGCGAATCGTGACAGCCCTGTGAATGGTCATGGATCAAGAATCATCTTCCGCAAAGATGGGAGTGTTGTCCTCACTAACCACGATGATGCAGTTGTCTGGAGCACCAACACCAGTTCCACTGAAGCTCAGAGAATGAAGCTTCTGGACTCTGGAAATCTCGTTGTTGTTGATGGGGATGGTAAGACTCTATGGCAAAGTTTTGGTTCTCCCAAGAACATACAGTTGGCTTCATCAAAAGCTAAAGGCTCTCTCTTTTCTGGCTACTATGGCTTTTATTTTAGCAATGATAATGTCCTTACACTGATTTATGATGGCCCTGACATCTCTAGTATATACTGACCTAACCCAGATAACGATGTATTTGTTAGCTCTAGAACACGCTATAATAGTAGCAAATATGGGGTCCTTGATGAGAAAGGGCAGTTCTTGGCAAGTGATAGATTGGCGTTCAATGCTTCTGATTGGGGTCCTGGAATTAGTAGGAGACTGACTTTGGATTATGATGGAAACCTTAGACTCTACAGCTTGAATGAGTCAACTGGCTCATGGTCAATTACCTGGGCAGCACTTCAACGAATGTTGCGTGCTCATGGATTGCGTGGCCAGAATGGAATTCTTGCATACACACCTCTGCCTCAGTGTTCATGTCCTCCAGGTTATAAGATGGCTAATACTTCCGATTGGAACAAAGGTTGCAAGCCTAAGATTGAGATCAACTGTGATAACCCTCATCCATTCAAATTCTTGGAGCTTCGGAATATAGATTTCTAGGGTTATGATATCAATATATCTACGTCGTCGTTCAAGGATTGCAAGAAAATATGCAGGCACAATTGTTCATGCAAAGCTTTCACGTATAAGGCTGGAAGTGGAAAATGTTACACAAAGAATGAGCTCTTCAATGGAAGAGCATCACCAAGCAATGTTCCTAATCTATACCTAAAAGTTCCTAGACTCATGCATGTTTCCAATCCTTCTATCTCACAAATATACCAACCTATCTGCAATGCCAACGATGGAAATAACACAATTGGTTCCTCCATTGAGTATGCCATAAACAACACTAACTTAAATGTGGCCTACTTCTATTGGTTCATGGCAGCATTTTTTGGGGTATAAATGCTGTTCATAACATTTGGTTGGTGGTTTATTTTTAGAAGGGGAAAGATGCCGAAATCATTGGAAGAAGGGTACAAGATATTGTCCAGTCAATTCAGGAAATTCACATACAAATACTTGGTAAAAGCTACTGGAAACTTCAAGGCTGAGCTAGGAAGAGGAGGCTCAGGAGTTGTTTACAAGGGGGTATGGATGACGAGAGGATCGTAGCAGTGAAGAAGTTGGGAGATGCAATTCCAGGTGAAGATGAGTTCTGGGCTGAAGTAAGTGTAATTGGGAGAATATGTCACATGAGTCTCATAAGAATGTGGGGATTTTGTTCGGAAAAGGCACACAAGCTCTTGGTCTCTGAATTCATTGAGAATGGTTCATTGGACAAGATCTTGTTTGATGGCAAGAGGAATGGTGGCTTGCTTTGTTGGAAGGAGAGGTTTAAGATTGCAGTGGGAGTGGCAAAAGGGTTGGCTTATCTTCATCATGAATGCCTTGAATGGGTCATCCACTGTGATTGTTGCAGCGGAGGGGCTTCACAGACACAGAAGATGTTTATACAAGAATGGACAAATAAAACAGCACACCAGGATTTAACGTGGTTCGGTCAGTATGACCTACGTCCACGGGCGAGAACAGCAGAGAAATTCACTAATCACCAAAGAGAAGATTACAAAGAGGAGATCACTCTCTTGCTAGAGACTCACACAAAGAAAGAGACAAATTCTTTCTATCTCACTCTCTTCTCTCTCTCTCTCTCTTCTTTTCTCTACTCAACTGAGTTTTCGATGCTCTTAAACCCTCTCCCTACACCTCCTTATATAGGCTCAAAATATTAATAAAATATTGTAATAGGGTAGGTGGAACAGTAAAATGTTAGGTGGAGGGGTTGGTGATTTTTGTTTTCATGGGCAAAGTCAAACAACAAATCTCCACCTTGACTTTGAATATGAAAACTTTTTCTCTTCACTCTTGCTGTCTCGCCAGAAGCCCCTTACGGGCTTAACCTTCGCTTTGTTGAACTCCAAGCAATTCGAGGCAATGCTCGAACTTGCGCGAAGGTACGGGCTTCGTCATCATATCTGCTGGATTATCTGCAGTACCAATTTTCTCAATCTTGATGACTTTAACTTCTCTGATAAAATGATACCTGACATCTATATGTTTGGTTCTTTCATGATACATCTGATGCTTCGTCAAATGTATAGCACTTTGACTGTCGCAAAATACCGTAGTAACACCTTGGTGTAAGCCGAGATCTTCAACCAAACCTCTCAACCAAATAGCTTCTTTCACTGCTTCCGTCACTGCCATATACTCTGCCTCTGTAGTAGACAAAGCAACTGTCGACTGTAGAGTCGCCTTCCAACTAATGGCACTACCTGAAAGAGTGAATATATAACCTGTCAGGGATCGTCTCTTATCCAAATCGCCCGCATAATCTGAATCAGAATAGCCAAGTATTCTGCAATCTGAGTCTGTGTTCCTGCCAAAATACAAACCAATATTAGCAGATCCTCTCAAATATCTAAGTATCCATTTCACAGCCTGCCAATGGACTTTTCCAGGCTTATCCATGTACCGACTCACAACACTGATTGCATGTGAAATATCTGGACGGGTGCAAACCATCGCATACATAATGCTTCCAACTGCACTCGCATAAGGAACATGAGACATGTACTGCTCCTCCTCCTCAGTCTGAG